GTGGTGGAGTTGATGGAAGGTGAAGGTGGGAGAAGGGTGAGGGAGAGGGTGGCGGAGGTGAAGGAAGGTGCATATGGTGCAATGAAGGAAGGTGGCTCGTCATGGCGGACATTGGAGTCACTGATTGATCATATCTGATGAAGCTGTGCAACCGACAGCTTAATGATTATCTTCTCTCCTAATGATTATCTTAATAAAAGAGGTTTCTGTCGATTTTAACCTTCAACAATAGGTAATTTACAATTTAAACCCTAAAATTAAAAAATTTAATCATATGGTCATCTCTTTACCTGTTAACACCGTTAAATACATAATAGACGAACTTACAAATATTGAAAAGTTGTGATTTTTGAGAGAAAAAAAATAATAATTTTCTTGGTGGGGCCACCCTTATGCACCGCCCAAATACTGGGCAAAGACAGGTGCATAAGGACTCCACATTTTTTTTAAGAAAAAATATTGTTTTTGAAATTTATTTTTTTCGTTTGAAATTTTTTTTTTTAAATTGAAAAATTGTCCTTTTAAAAAAATTTAATTTTTTCTGTTTAGAACTTTATTTTTTTTTAATTTTAATTTTTTTTCATTAATTTTAATATTCAATTTCCTGTTTTATAATACAACATTATTCAAAAAAAAATTAAAAAATATTTTTTTCTTCAAAACTTTAAATTTTTCAAGAACTTTAATTTTTTTCATGAATTTAATTTTTTTTAATTTTATTTATTTCTTAAAAAAATTAATTTTTTTTAGAAAAATTCTCAATACAAAACACAAATTTTTGTTCATTTTCAATATAACACTATTTATTTCCCCCATTTTCAATATAAACGCTATTTAAATTTGTTTTTTTTTTCTTCTCAACCTTACTATATAAACATTTCAAATTTTCATATTACCAACACTTCAAAAAAAAACTATATATATATATAGTTATATATCCGAGATTGAGAAAAAAATTATCTTATGCAAATTCTCAAGGAATACATGTGATTGAGAAAGTTAGAATACGTATTTTTTGTGGAGGTTCGTGGCAGTTAGTCAACGACGTGGAAGATTATATTCCAGAAACGCAAAAAATTGTTGTATTGTTGCCGATACACTTAACATTGCCGGGTTTGGTCAATTATTTAGCTAGAAAATTAAACTTATCTAATTTTGAAAATCTTTTTAAGTTAACATATAAATTTTTGTCATCTGGTTCGATTGTCAAGTTATTTGACACCAATGACACGAGACAATTTTTGGCTATTGGTGTTGATATCTCGCCGCAAGCCCTAAGATTGTATATTTGCGATCTTGGTGTTGCAATTTATCAATCTAACTCAAACCAATAGATTGTTCCAAATACTGTGTATGGGTCCAAGCACCTTCGATATATATTTCCACTCGTTTCATATGTGCCAAACCAATCTGATCCAGGTTCCAGCCAAAACATATTTCCACTTATTTCATACCAATCGTACTAAAGTGATAAGACAACTCATAACACTCCATATCATTCGTACCAAACTCAATATCAACCGTTTCAAACCCCACTTGAAAGAACAATCTCAGTATCACCCGTTTTATAGCCAGGAGACGTATGAAACTTCATATTAGTCGTACAACACTCCATATAAGTCATGCGAAAATTGTCTGACATACATATACTAAGATTTACCATCTGATTATGATATTCGTATTTTTGAAATTTCTACCATAGAATATGACACCAATTTAGATGACACTGAAAATGAGTCTAACAAATATAAGGTTGACTTTGATCCTTATTACGGGGATGTCTCATGGGGGATTGTTTGTATCATCTCAATACAGATAAATATATGGCGCTATAGTCAGATAATAGTGATGGGGATTGTTTGAATAGTGTTGTATTGAGAAAGATGAAATTGAATATTAAAATTTTAAAAATTTAAATTTCTAAACCAAAAAAATTATATTTCTAAAAAAATCAAATTAATGAAAAAAAAATTTAAAAAATTGAAAAAAATAAAGTTCTAAAAAATTATTATTTTTTTAAAAAAAATTAAACAAAAAATCTCAAGAAAATATCAAATTCAAAAAAAAATGCTGAGACATTTATTCATCTCCCGGTGCGTAAGGGTGGGACCCACCAAGAAATTGTTTTTTCTTTCAAAAAATCACAATTTTTTAGTATTTGCAAGTTAGTTTCGGTACGTAACTAACGATGCTAACAGGATACCGGATGGTTATTTAGTTAAAAAAAATTAATTTTAAGGTTAAAATTGTAAATTATCTATTCTTAATAAAATCGTCAGAAACCCAAAATAAAAAGGTCATGTTGAATTGAAAATGATAAACATTGATCCAAAGTTGAAAGAAACGTTTTGTATTATTCATGATATGAAGCGTACTTGCAGTTTCTCTTGGCCCACACATTCTCATACAAATTGATAGTTTACGTAACATTTATCAGGTAATTACTAATCATTTTACATGCATTACCTTAACTGATAAATACGACAAGAACCAAAAGTCTTACCCGGTAATAACGAATTAAGACGTTTACCGGATAAATTGTTGCATATGATGTTGTTTTGATAGACTAAGATCTTATATGATAAATAAATAATAGTGTTAAATTTTACCGATGAACGACCTAGAGTGTTTGGAGTAGGGCTGGAAAAACAAAGTTTTTTTAAGAGTGATATTTGAATCCAAATGATTGTAGTTTGGTAATAAGTTGTATTATGCTTCTAGAAGACTTGTATTTTTCTTTAGTTGTTAAATAATTTGAAAGAAGACGATATGATATGATGTATCTTCTCTTGGAGCAGACAAATTAAAAAAAAAAAAAAACTGTTTGTTTTTTTCAATTTTTCGGAGATACTTATATTTTATTGTTCTCTTATCTGGGTTTCAAAACTAGTTTTTAAAACAGTTTTATAAAAAAAACGAAGTATTAGGGGTTGTTTACCAAATATTTACTTGGTAAGTGCTTATCAAGTTACATTATCTTACTGATGAATATGACAAGGACCAATAATCTTACCCGGTAAGAGCGAAGACAATGACCCACCCAGTAAGTGAAGACGACGACTCTTACCACAGTTAGCACTTAGCGGGTAAATTGTTGCATACGATACCATTTTAGTGGACTAAAACATCTTACCCGGTAAGTAAGTGATAGTATTAAATTTTGCCAATAAGTACTTACCTGGATAAGCGTTTGGTAAACGACCCCTTAGTAATTTTATAGGACATTATTTGAAAAAATGTCTTATAAAAATACAATATTCTATAAATAAATGTGTTCATAGGACCCCACACAAAAAATGTCATATAAAATAGTTAATACGACATTTTATATTGAAATTGTTCTAAAAAACATTCAAAAACGTCATATAAACTTATTACACCACCTAAAAGTAATGATGTTTTATTGTATGGTCATATAAACATAAATCCTATAAAACGATCTGTTATAACACATAAAAATTGTTTTGACATCGTATAAACTCAATTTCGGTATAACGTCACGTCGTCGGTGAGGTCATATACAATTCTATTCTATTGCAATTCTGTTATCACCAAAATTAAGGCATTGATTAAATATTTAACTAGTAGATTGATTTCAATAATTTATGATTCATATTTGAATATTCTTTTAGTGGTTCATTCAAGGAAGAACTAAGTAGTTTTTAGTAATCCTGAGATCTAATCTCAAACACAAATCAATAGATAAATTAGGAAATATATAATTTTGGTAATTTTAAATTAAAATTTTAATGTAAAGACATTTTAGGTATTTTCTCTTATCTCTCCGTCCTCCGGCCTCCGTCCACCGTCCTCCGGTGATACCATTGTGATATCTAAAAATATTGACTCTGTTAAACAAAAGATACAGTGTGATACCGAAGCATATATAAGATGCATTGTGATACCACTGTGTTACATCTCCGATCAACCACACAAACGACCTCAATGTGATACCCACGCACATATATGATGCATTGTGATACTATTGTGGTATCACCGGAGGATGGTGGCTTGAGAGAGAAGAGAGGAGAGATGAGAGTTTTAAAATACCAAAAATGTCCTTGCATTAAAATTTTAATTCAAAATTATAAATTTCCTAATTTATCTATTGATTTGTGGTTGAGATTGGATCTCACGGTTATCACAAACTAATTAGTTCTCATTTGATTAGGCCCCTATTCTTTTATATCTACGAATTTGAAATTATTATGATGACGGGCTAAACTCTATATAATAAATTTTAATATAAATTTTGAACTCGAACTTACGTGTGTGTGGCACATTGCTGGTTTTCTAAAACTTTTAAATGTACACAACGATGCAGTAGATCATATTTCAATTATTACAGTAAAACCACAATACTGAACTATTAAATCATATTATCAACATTACTAGGTCTATATTTCTCAGCTTGAGATTCCTCCATGTTTCTATCGGTAGGCTTTTGGACTGAGTCTAAAGGGTCGGAACAAACGGTGATATAATCAGACTAAGGGTCAATTAAGGTTAATTGATTGAGAGAGGAGCAATTGAGAAACGTTGATGCTATTTGTATGGAGAATAATAAGAGGCAGATCAGGGGTTGAGTTACTTATTATCAGATAAGAGGACGATAAGACATAAATGCCTCTGAAAAATCGAAAAAATAAGTAGTCTGAATGATCCTACCTCTTACCGAATCAGATAAAGAGACTGATAAGAGCCTTTTAAAAACAAAAAAACAAACAAGGCCTATGTTGACCAACCAACTCATGGTTGCCCATAGAGCCGACTTGTAGCAGTATTATTGTATTTTCTTTTTACTATTGTCTATTTTCGAACTGTTTGTTACTTACTTCAAAAAAAGGATCGGTCTGACCATGAAATCTTTGGACTGATAATGAATCGTGATCTGTCAATCGATTAACCTAAATCGGTCCACAGTCTCAATATGTTAATCGATCCCATATGTTTATCATCTATCGTTCTTCACCCAGGTATTTGTTTCTATTATATTATTTGTTGTCGCTAATTTCATGACATGATTTTGGTGAACTGTTGATAAGGATTTTAGTTGCTACAAAACTTTGTTCATATTTTTCATTGTGTTTGACTCAATTGATGTATTTTAATATGATTTAAATGTGTTTATTATTGTCAATAGCATATTTTCCGTTAAAGAAATGTTAATTTTATAATTTATGTGTAAATTTCGTAATAATTATGAGTAAGTATATGAAATTTATATAAATTGAACACTATAATATTATGATGGGTTAAAATAGACAATTTAAACAAATTCAGACATTTATCAATTTACAAAAACAAACAATTTTATTGACTTTTTTTCAGACTTCAACACAAACTCTTATCTTAAAAAGTAAAATAAGACTTTATACTTCAAACACTTTTTAAAAAAACTAGAAGAGTACTAACGCAATGCAACGAGACACATATCGATTTTAATGTTTTATTTTATTATTTGTCTCTGTCGATGTTATATTACGCTTTTATGTATTTAATAAGAAAGCAATAATGATTTTATTTTTGAATAAAAATATAAATTTGAAGATATCATACAAATTTTAAAAAAAATATCAATATTAATATCAAATTAATTATTTAAAAGTT